GCAGGTGCATTTATACGGAGACTTGATTACACACAGGTGCATTCTATTTATCATCATCAGTCATTTAGGACAACATTGGATCATTCAAAGATCCTCACTGAACTTCTGGACTGAGTTTGCTGCACTGAAAGTAAAGGGGCCCAATAATATTGCATGCCCCACTTTTCAATTTTTTATTTGTTAAAAAACTTTAAATTATCCAATAAATTTCGTTCCACTTCACGATTGTGTCCCACTTGTTGATTCATGACAAAATATTTAAATTTTATATCTTTATGTTTGAAGCCTGAAATGTGGCGAAATGTTGAAAGGTTCAAGGGGGTCGAATACTTTCGCAAGGCACTGTATATATTAGTATGATATTTGTTTAATAACTTATTTCAATATATTGAATTAACATAGGGAAAAGGGGTAGTATTTAATAAGCTTTGGCTTCTTCCTACTCGTGAATAAGTTTTCTTTATATTTTTTCTTATACATTTATTCTATGTTTAAATAAACACAAATAAATAAATAAATAAAATAAACTAAATAAATAGAAATAAATGCTCTTTGTCAGGATTATAATCTGATGAATTGCTCTCACTTTCTTATTCATAACGTCAATTGTTATCACTAATGTTTTTTCTTCCTGTTATGAGGGTTATTGCCCAAAGGTTCCTGTTTTGAAAAACGGTTGGAAGTTGCAAATATGATGTGGTTTTTAAAGGAGCTATAAAGGACTATTATGTGCATGTTCTCTCACACACCTCCAGGCCCCAGCACCCAGCACCCAGCACCCAGCACCCAGCACCCAGCACCCAGCACCCAGCACCTAGCACCCAGCCCCCAGCCCCTTGTGCTAAACCTATTGACTTCTGCAGTGTCCTTAGATGTTGTTTCATGATAATATGGAATCTTCTATTAGGACACGGTTTACAAAGCGGGTTAGAAATACAATAGTGTGTATTCTAGTGGGTTGCTTCTATTTGAATGGCATCATCAACCAATTTTCCTCCATTGGCAATATCAAATTATTTCCCAAATCTAAATAAATAGGCAAAGGAAGTGTATTTGAAAAGCACAATTCATACACAAGGCAACTCAAATTCATTTCAAATTGAGTAATTTTAGGAGTGACAAGGAATGATGTTTAGCGGTGTGATTGATTGTCTGATTGGAAGTTCAGTAATTCATCTTTTTGATTAAAACAAGATACTTTATTGTGGGTGTTAGTATTATCTTATGTTAAACTCTCCAACTCGCAGCTGAGCGTTCATTTCCTTGATAACGTTGTTCGAATGAAGAACGAAACAGCAGAAAACCTGCTAATTCAAGTACAGATAATGGGTGAGCAACCTTCCTTTGTTTTTTAATCATCCCTTACACAATATTGTGTAAGGGATGCTCTGTATAAACCCACATCATACCTACACAATTGTTTTAGTAATAGTTTAGGTTAAAAGCAAGGAAGCCCTGTCCCTACAGTACATCAAAGTCTACAAATCTCCTGAATTAATTATTAAGACCTTGTTAAATCACCATTGACGCAGAGGCAATAACCCTCCACACAAGGGTCCTCCTAATCTGACGGGCTTTCATCTGTTGCCACGGTAACAGAGGGCCACAGCTGCTGGACCCTGGCTGTGATGCGGAGATTAAGGTGAAGCCAAACAAAGCTTTCAATACCCTTTATGTCAGATGTGGTAGATAATGTAGGCTGTTAAATACTGAAAGCGTTCTGGGACATCAAGGGAAATCATGTTGTAAAGGACTTACTCATGATGGAGACCGAGACAAAACTGAGAGATACTAAGGTTGAAATGGTGAATTGTTGTGTATATGAGCGATATTTTGAGACCTTTGACCATTAAAATGAGTTGTTGAGTTGGTAAAGGATAGATTATTGTGTGCAAAAGATCCTACAACTCATTGGCTTCATTTGGTTTGCTAAAGTGGTTAACAACTATAGACAACGGCTTTAGTACTGTAAGATTGTGAGTGGAGTTTGCATGTATGTATATGTCTGCGTAGGTTTCCTCCGGGTGCTCCGGTTTCCCCTACAACTAAAAAATGACATGCATAATAGGTCTGAATGTAGATGAGAGAGTGATTGGAACAATATTGGACTCTGAACATTGTGAAGCGCTTTGGGTGACCTTGGTCTGTAAAATGCGATACATAAATATACATTACTCACTAACATTACTTACAAAATGTTGCATATTTGGATTGGGTTTCAGATTCCTCTTTTATACAGCGGTTGGAAGACATTTTTAAGAGGTATGGGAAACCTGCAAACTCCACTCGGAAAGGCCCTGTTCTGACCAGACATTGAAACCCAGGACATTCTTGTAGAGAAACAAGAATACTAACCACTCAGCCATTGTACCACCCTTACTTACTGCATTCAGGGTTCAATGTTTATGATAGTATAAATGCTGGGGTTGTTATTTTATGTATTAATTATTATACATACCTTTTGTAAATAATAAATCAGTGACAACAGACCTAAATTATTTTCTACACTCTGAATTCTACAGGCAACAAACTGAAAATCAAAAAATTTGAACGGATTTTTGTGCCCTTTTCCAGCGCCATCAAAGTTATGAGACCCTTGAATATCATCCGAAATACATTCTAAATCACACATTATAGATTCAAGGCAACCAATACAAACATATACGTTTTATTATTGAATCACAATTTCATACACTTTTCACCCAATGTATCGACGCCCTAATAAAGCATCAGTATTGGGTGCTAGAACACAATTGCACACAATCAAGCTATATTGACCACGCTGACCTATTGATTATTGGTCACATACAAATCTCTTCATTTCCCAACTCCCTGACTGCAGCCGGCGCAGGTTAGACTCCACACCATCTGTTTCACAAGCTCTAAATCTTACACGGGACAAGCAGGGACGTGTCTGAGTGTCTGTCTGTGCACCGTGTCTCATATAACGGTGATTACAGACTTTCAAACCGTCCTTCCCTCAGCCCCATTCCACGCTCGCTGACTCACTGCCTCTCTATTGACTTTCCTTCGGTCATGCCCACCTCCTTCGTCTGCCCTCAGAAGTGACAGAGGCCAGGGTGTGCATGTAAACTGTGTATCAAAGACCAAAGGGCGCAAAGGGAGGTCTCGGCTAAACAAGAAGCCACTTCACAGGCCAGTACATGATGCTGTTTCCCCCTACATGGCTTCTAATTTGACGTGGGGGAAAAAAAAAATGCAGATTGTAATGTTTTCCAGGTGGCGAGATATTGTTTTGATTTGATGCAGGGAGTGGGAATGTGTCATTTTGGGAAAATTCTGGGGAAAGGTATAGCTCGGTACACGGTAGGTGAAAGCAATATGATTTTGTTCATTTAAAAAATATCAATAACTGAAAAGAATTCAAACAACTTGAGTTAATACTTTGTAGAACTGTTTTGCTTTGTCTGCAATCATAGAAGGAAAAGGGGGTCTGCTTTATATTATTTATGGACATTGGTCATCTGCCCTATGGACCACAGGCTCCTACGAGTTTGTGATTATGGCATTTTCTGTGTTTGAAACGGTTTGATTCTGATCTGTGTTGATCAGAGAATCAACAACTTTGTCAAGTGCTCTAACATGACTGCTGTTGTGATTTAGGGCTATAATTTATTTATTTATTTTTACATTTTATTGAACTGAATTGAGTTCAGCTTTGCAGAGATTAAACGTTTTGAACAAAAAAATCGCTCTGTCAATTAATGGAAAGCTTTCAGATTTTCCTTTGGTCTGAACTTTCACTTGGCCATTCTAGCACATTAACATTATTAATATGTTTTGTTTTAAGTCCATCTATTGCATGAAAAGTCCCTATGTTTAGAGAAATCGCCCTGATTGTAGTTAAACATCCAACACAAACTCACTTGAATGGAACTCGCTTTTCTTCCAAGATTGTCCTGTACTCTTCACTGTCCCTGCTGAGGAAAAGCAGTCCCATAGCATGATGCTGCCACCCCTGCTTCTTTGACCCTGGGAATGCTGCACTGGTAGAGTGCAGTGTTAGTTTTGAGCCATACATAACATTTTGGCCAAAAAGTAAAACCTTTTGTCACAGCTTTCCTTTTCACTTACTATTTACAATAATAAAGGGCAGATTCTCCAAAGTGAGCTCTGAATGTCTGTATCAAGCAGTGTTTGGGCAGACAGCAGTATTGTTAGATTTGGTTTTATTTTTGATAGTTCATTTCCGTTTAATGATGCCCTTTCCTGACCTGTACCCCACTTTACATCGGAAAAAAATCATATCCTGAGTAGATAATGAAGTCAACCAAAAAGCTTAAAAGTTGCTTTATCTTAGTTCATTTCAGTTACTTCTGTGCAAAGAAAAGCCTGTTGTGGATATAGAATCTTTTTGAGCATAGTTTATTGTGTCTAAATAGTAAAGATAACAATGTTTACAGTATCCAAGATGGAAAGAAAAAGAAACAAATATCAAAGAACAAGAAAGGGAAAAGCAATAAACAATAGTGTAGTTAGAATCTTATGTATATACATTAATGTAATTACAATATATTCTACCTTTTTATAACTAAAGCCAGAAAGCTCAGAAATGATGGCATCTTGTAGAAAAGGAAACTGGTGCCCCCTGGTGGCTCTTTCTGACTGTACTGTTAACACATGGTATTCTGTCAATACCATTTATTAACAAACTTTTTTATTTGGATTAGATTTATATGGGTTTTAAAAACTAACCGTCCATGTGAATGTATATTTATGACACCTAGAATCGGGCTGTAAATGTGTTCAAACAATCTTCTCAAACTAAATTCGCATTCAATCCGTGTGTTTGTTCGGGCTAAACACTGGTAAGAGTTATTTCAGTGTCGAGATGAAAAAGCAGTTCATTTACACCTGAAATATAAACACTACACCCACTCCTGCTCTAATCTGCATCTGGCAGAAAGTTTGAGACAGCACCCCCCTGTGTGCTTTTATGGTCACTTCATTCGTCCAATAGAGTTATAGTTCTGTAGGTTTTACTCGTCAGCTTGCAGCATCTCTTCGATCTCCTGGTCCCACTGCTCGTCTCTGTTGTCAGACTCAGTCACAACCTCGTACTCCTGGAGCTCCTGCTGCAGCTCTTTCTCCCAGTCCGCAGAGTCGTCTGAGCACATCCGAAAGAGCATGACAGAGTTTAAGTTAGGTGCTCGTTGTCTACACATGTTTGGACTTTAATGATCCAGAACCCACCTCCCACCTCATTGGTCATTTAGACCCTGTATTCATCTAGAATTTTTAAAATCCTTAATAATGGTTTCTAATGTTATTTTTTAAACACTGTGATACCACAAGGGACACTTTTGAAATGATGTGTGACAACAGTGGGAAAGGTTGGCGTGTTGATTGGGGCCGTATCGGCTTTTCACCAAGGGAATCACAGGAACGTGTCAAAAATACAGTGAGTTTTCTTAAGTCACAGTGCATTGCGGGTCGACCCTGATGATATTACAGTTATGTTGGCAGATGTAGCCATGTGTGTGTGTATATGTGTATCTATTTATATACTACAACTACTACTGGGATATAAATGATTATGGATATAGGTTCAGTATCTCCACCCACCCTCTCCCACCCTGCCCTTGGCATGACTCGATTGGTTAACGTGGACGGCATCGTGGATTCTGAGCTATAGCTAAGAGAAGGGACTTACCCGTAATATTAGAATTAATAAAATGACTTATTTTATGTCAACTTTTAAGGCCAGGAGGTCAATTTAACACAATTCTTTAAAAATGTAATTTATTTAGAGTTCCAGACTATCGCTTTAAAATGGACCAGAGCATGTGTATAATCCACATACAGCAATCATTTCCAAACAGATATATACAAGAGCCGCTGGTGTAAAAGCCCAAACCTTTCACTCTTGTTCTCTCGCTCAGTAACTGTGTCTCACTCACCATTTTGGGCTTAGACAAATCTGTGGTTTAGTGCTATATGAGCTTTTAATAATGCCTTAGTAAAATCCAGATATGAGCCATAAGGATGAACCAATCAGAGGTCTTCATTCGTTGCCTTAGCAACTAGCTAATGTTCAACTTGGCTTCTGCATTTGGCAAACACTATGGGTGACGCCAGCCTTCGATCAGTCCCCTTCTAATATAGTCCATGAGTGTTACGCTGTCCCTTGTATGACTTTTTATAGCCTTCATCTGTGGTCTAGTTTACTGCTATAAATGTCAGTGTTCACATGGAGCCTGTGTAGCTCAGTGTATAAGAGCTTCTAACAAAAAGTACCAACTCTCTATTTAGACTAAAAATGTAGTTCAAAGTAATACTAAAGAATACTAACCATCGGGTGAGGGCGTGTCATCCTTCTTGTTCAGCACAAGTTGCTCCATCCCTTTCCTCAGATCCTCATGGTTAATGGCAGCGGAGTCAAAAGCGTCACTAACAAACTCAGACACGCCGGGGCTGGTGGAGATCTCCTCTTCTTCGTGTTGTGGCTAATGATGAAAATAGTGGAGTATTAAAACACATTCTATCATCAGTGCTCTTGAAATGATTTAGACACAAACCTTTTTCACGTCCAGGATTGAAACAGGTGGAGTTTTTGGTCTGACGGTGTCTGTGAATGAGAATAATGACAACATTGTTTTAAGTGTCTGGGCTCCTGTTTTCATGCGTTTGTCGAGCTGAGGGTTGATTATTGGAAGATTGATTTTAAAAAGTTACCAATTATACAAGGCTACTATTTAATTCACCATTTTTGTTTTTCCTTTCCCACTCTTCTGACCTCAACTGTGCCAAGACTTAATATAATAATTGAATTGTTTGCTCCATCACTGATACATCGATGACTTAACAGCGTCGCAAACACAATTCATCTAGAATAAATAATAATAAATAGGTAAGCTAACATGATCTGCTAATGATATGAGCTGGCCCGTGACAATGCTTACAGTGAAGGCGGAATTAAATACGGACATGGAATTGATTTCATATTGATCTACTGTTATCATGATATACAATGATATTATGGTATCATTTTAGATCGACAAATGGGTTACTAATGGTCATCATAAAAACACAGCACATTCATTCTTTTACGTAATTTATAGAATTTAAAGTTTAGCTGCTTGTACGAGGCTGTACTCGAAAAAATAAAGTGTACTGCAAATGTATGGTTCGGAAAAGCCAATTAAGATACAGTAAATTCAATGTATTCTTGTAACTAAGTTTATTACACAGCTCCTCACAGCAGCAGCAGAACGCTGATTTGAATGTCATTTCAAAACGTTCTACCGGTCATTATTTCTTGATAACGGACCTCTCAAAACAATAATGCCACTGCCCTTTGGCAATGCACTCTCTGCTTGTAATTCATGTGTGTAGATCACTCCGCAAGTAGTTATATTTATATTTTATATTTATTTATTTATTTGGTATGGACATAACAATAGCATTGGACAAACCAGATACATTGTTTTTAGTGTTATAGCAAGACTGCTAATTTGCAACACCTGTCCATAAAAGGCTAGGAGAGCACAATACAAAAAAAACAAAACAATGCAATACAGTACACAATACATTATTTAAAAAGGTAAGTAATACATATTATCAATGTCGATTTCATTTCATACATGTGTGCAGCTTTGATTTGACTTTAGCCACTGTTTTAGACCTCTATAAAAACTGTTCATGTCAGTCTGCAGTTTTAAATCACTGGGCTAGCTCCGGCCACTCCGGAGCTAGCCACGCTCAATAAACGCAAATACCAATCAATAACACATTTAAATGTTAATAGGAGAATACATTATACATATACATTCTTAACACACATGCACAGGGGCTTTCAGAAGTATCTGTTAAGGTTTTCATTACAAAAATACTAGTTTAACGCGAGAAAAAGCGATCGCAAAAAACCCGTCATTTCTGTCATTAAATAAACCTTTTGGCATTCCCAAGAGTGACTGAAGTTTATTTTGTGTGTTCTGTTGGTACAAAGCCGTATTATAATATAGTATATATATATATATATATATATATATATAATGTATAGTGTGCGTCGGGGTCCGCTTCGCCCTGACGGTACTTATTTTCCAATAATGACCTGCGTACTATACATTATCCCTTACATAATATATAGCCTTATCCATCTATATTTCTATAGCCCTTAATCACACCAGTAGTTATCTCAGAGGACTTAATAAAACAAAGTTCAGACAAAAAATATAGAACACATAGATATTGGTCCATAGGGGGAGTTGACCAATGTCCATGAGTGTTGATAAATGAATCAAATAAATGACTGTAAGTTTATATATCTTATCTTTATGCAACAATGTAAAGTCAGAACCTTTCAAACCCATCTTGATAAGATGTTAATATGGCGTCTGATCGTCACCTGTTAGAATGACGTCCTCAGGAGAGACGCTGGCCTTTCGCTCTTCTCCGTCTTGTTGCTGCTGCTGCTGTTGTGCTGCTAGAGCTGTGAGCTGAGCAGACTGCTTTATCAAAGACACTCGGTAGAAGTAATTCCTCCAGAAAACTTCCTCCTTCACACTGTGCAAACACGGTAGAACAACAATGAAAAGATTTGCACATTTTGATAAACGTTCCTTGTGTAGTTTAGGAAGGTCATCTCGTCTTCTTAGGAGACAAAGATATTATCGTCAAAACATGTCAAGGTAAAAGAATTGTTATCTGACTCTTTGGTATAAAGGAACCAAATAACTATAACTCCCAAACTTAGAGGCATATAACAACATATATCTAAAATAGTTAGTTACTTAAGACTAGGGTAAGTCTGAGGATAGACTAGACCTATCCACACAAATGAACAAATGAGAAAGAGGCAAAAAAAACATTTTTTTGCCTCTTTCACATTTGTTCAGCAAATGTTTACGTGTACAAGACCCCAGATTTATTAACCTTTATTAAGAGGAATAACCCCTTGAGAGGAATCATCTCGTTTCCGAGGGGGTCCTCAACCAAACATATGATCTTAATTTCAATTTGGGAGGATCTAATAAACTTGATTGAATGTTTATCATGTTTTTTGTGTTCTTCCGGACCACTATTGATTACAACTATTCTTTACACACTGAATCATACAATGCCCTAATACAAATAAATATATATACATAAATAAGTACAGTATATATATATTTGTCTAATACCAATTCATATCTTGGAGTCCGGTTGAGAGCTGAGGTGTGTTTTATATGTGCATGCTAACTATGCACACTTACATCATTTATAATTATATTCTTGATCCCAATTGGTGCACTGTTGGTTTTGTCTTGTACTGTAGTGATATCGTGTAATTGCACAATGTACACATGTTTTTAATCACGGAGACAGAACCTTATTGCCCCTCCCCACTTTTTAATAACCTGAGCCTGCCCCTGTGTGTTCATGTTCCCTGAGGAAGACAAGAGGCTTAAACACGTTGGTGTGTTTTGAATGATCCGATATGACAAGGTAAAATGAAGGGCTTTGGGGCTTTAAGTCTGACTTAAAGTAACAATATGTAAGATTTTCTTGTCAGGTCATCAGGGCCCTGATCTGTCAAAAGGCATTAATAAAACATGCTCTTTTCAAATACTTATTTCACTGATAACAGTAGTTCAGAGATATTGGAATTTCAAAATTACTTTTCCAGCTCCTAAATCCATCCATCTTCTTCCCCTTAATCCATTTCTGGGTCGGGGGGGGTGGCAGTCAGAGCTGCACCCAATTCACATAGCACCAGCCCTAAATCTTGTTATTGTTTTCAATTCGATGTCCCGCCATCCACCGTTTCACCAATCAGAAACTCACCAAAACTCGAGCTAATCTCACTGGTAAAGTACCATGTGGCCACAGAACTAGAAAGGTCTCGTTATGAATCTCAACTCATTAAAGACAAAACGAGGAATAAAACCAGGATTTCTAACGGGCCTTTGTGAAAAAGTGTTGGTTATAGATTTTTTGTTGACAAAACTCTTGTCTCTCCAGTTGGATTCGTCTGCATATCTGGCAACCTGAGTCAGGTAGAGTGGGAGAGGCTGCAGTACCACTTTTGGCCAGATTTTTACATACTGCTCCTTGTATTAGTGTATTTTCTATAAGGACTTAATTACACCCAAAATCTCCAAAGAGCACCTAGCTTGCTTCAATCTCACATGTTTTACTGTGGGACTAATAAAGGATTAATTCATTCATTCATACACCTATGCAGCGTTCCCGATACTTAATAAAGTAATAATAAAGTATCCTCACAGCTTTGGGACGAGGTCAAAGCGCATGCAGTTGAGAAGCTGGTCCTCCTCCAACATCACAGCAGCCAGGGGGTACATCTGATCCATGTCAAAGTGGAACTGCACACCGGCCGGAGGGTCACGCAGGAAATTCCTTTTATCCTATTGTGTCATCGAATACATATGGATCAAAGCGGACGTCATGTAATCAACTGCGGTCACAGATAATCCCAGTTTCCAAAGCACTTACAGCTGAGAGAGCCAAAATCTGCTGCTGGATGGTCTCCTCCTCGTTATAGCCCACCCAGGGAGGAACTGCAGCTTCTGGACACAACAAACTGAAAGTCAGGCATTTTCTTCTACTCAAAGTAAATGCAGTAAGTGTCAGTCAAGAATATGGGAAAAGTTATATTATTTATATTGTATTATTGTTTTATTTGTGATTGAAGATCAGAAACATTTGTTGGCCTCGCTGTTGTGTCCGTCACCGCTGTTGTCACCTTTGCATCATTGATGCATCTAATATTATTGTTATTATTATTAGTAGTGGTGGAATGAGAATAGAAAAGTATAATTAATCATGAATATCATAATGAATGGAACAAAATGAATAAATATAATATCATATAAAGATTAGACACATGCTTTCCAATTGTTGCTTTACCTGATCGCTTTGCCTTCTTTTCTGAGACAAACTTTTCTTGCTCCTTCTGGAAGTCTCCGAGAAAGGTCTAAAACACAGGTAGAACGCAGCATAACCTGGGATTCCTTTAACTGCTGTTGAACACGGTTGCTCAGCAACATACCTTGTCAATAATTTTACCCTCTTCCACACTCTTCTTGATAGTGTTTGCCGTTTCCACCACAGATTCTGAGAGCTTCTTGGTGGCGGTGGAAGCGAAACTGAAAATAAACTCTGCAAATAAAGATGGTATATTTAAGTAAAACATTTTTTATACAAGCAATACACTGTGATATTTTATAATGCATCACAAACAGTATGTAAACCCCTTTATTTACACACTTTATTTTATCTTAGGATATAAAACCAGAAGTATTAACAAACCATTCAGTAGTCAGGCAGTCAAACTATCATTTTAAAATACTGTGTTCTGGTGCACATGACTAAATGTGTTATTTTCTGTAGGTGGCTCAGAATACTTGCATAACCTCTTGGTAATGGTTATCTGTTTTGCCATACTGTAGAAACTGAAGTAATGTCATCTGGCCTATTCATGGTGAAAAAGTAATATACACAGTAGCATAAAGTTAAGTTATGAAAAGATTTGCACGTTTTGTTCAACGTTCCTTGTGTAGTTTAGGAAGGTCATCTTGTCTCCTTAGTAGACAAAGTAGACAAAGCATCAAAACATGTCAAGGTAAAACAATTGCTATCTCACATTCTGGTTTAGGAGAACCAATTAACTTTAACTCCCGAACTTAGCTGTCCATGCTTTCCTAATACTGCAAAAAAACAATATACATCTAATAAAGTTAGTTACTTAAAAGGTACATAGGAGGATATTCCAAAATTTTAGGATAGAACCGTCCTCTCCACTTTTGAATAAACCTCTTTGGTCTTATTTGACGAGCACATATCACCAGAATGATTGACAATTAGGAGGACCAATAGTCTTGATGATCCACCCGGAAGTAGAACATCCTCCTATATGCCTTTAAGACTAGGGTAATGGTTATCAGTTTTGCCATACTGTAGACACTGATGTAATGTCATGTCAACACAGTACCATGATTAAAGTGAAGAGTCTACAGAGTCATATTTTACGTAATCAGGCCTATTCCATGCTTTACAATATTGCATAATGTTGGTCCCCACATGAGCACACACCAGTGCTTTTGGCAGATCGAGGGTTTAGAAGTGCGGGTCTCACCTCCCAGTCCCCTGCTCGGGTCCCTGCTCGGGTCCAGCTCCTCTGGGCTCTCTGTCTCTGCTGTCTGGTCATCTCCATCAGGCTGCACTTTGTTTACCTCGTTCTGGGCTTCAACAACAGCTTCATTCTCCTTCTCTGTTCCGTCCACAGTCTTAGAACCCGGACTTTCAAAGCCCAGCCACGAACCCAGATTGTTGAACATGTCGAGCTCTAAATAAGCTGGAAATAAAAAAGAAACTCGGGGAAATCCAAATGTGACGCTGGCGAATTGTTGACAAAAGCAACCAGGAAGTGCGCGGAGCTCTCCTTCGTGGGCGCGCGGTGGTAGTGACGTCATGGTGGTGACGCCATGGCGCCACCTGCTGGTGGAACCCTGTACTCTTTTCATGTTTCAAAGTAGTACATTCGAGGACCCTCAAAACATGCAATAATTATTGGATCACTATGGAAACAGACCTTTCATTTTCAGTCATTCTGAAGAGCATTCCAAGGTTCCAGATCTCAGCTTAAATGTACTTTTACCATCATACTCATTTAATGATAATTGACCGGAGTTTACGGATGGCTAAGGACATCTATTAGTTTTTAAATGCATTTGCTCCTTTAGCAGGTACCTGATATATTATTAACAACAATACCAATAATGTAATGATAAAAATAATAATAATAATAATAATAATAATAATAATAATAATAATAATCATAATCGTAATAATAATAATAATAATAATCATAATCGTAATAATAATACAAGTTAAAAAAAATTATTTTATTATTATATTACTTTGATTGTGATGTATTATTAGGTGTGTTTTTGTTTTCATTTGATGTTTTATTTAGGTAACAATAGACTGTAACAACCGGATTCTCTCCAGCAGTGTCAGTATTGAGCTCAGACATTTCTATCACTGATGTGCCCAGCAGAAGAAGAGCGCACACTTCACAGACATCACAGACATCACAGACATCACAGACCAGACTCTTTGGACCCGGATCCGGACCATACACAGTCAGTCTGGTGCCTGGAGCAGCTTCTCTGCGGTGAGTGAATACTTGTTTCAGATGTGTATTACTCTGGCGAAAGAGTGGTATTCTAGGATTCAGAAGTGAAGCTGTGCAGCTGCAGGCAGAATGTGATACTAAATGAAAGGAACATGACTATGCATGTCCTAATATTCGTATAAGTAATACGTATGCTAATATAAAAGACACATCCCATGTCTCTTCATATTTTAGTGACATACCAACTGATATGAATCCATGCCAGGAGTTTCCTTGTGCTTCAGTTCTTTGGTCAGTTAAACCAGTTATTGGCTAAAACCAACTCAATCTTGAATAGAAGACTAAACTGCAAAATAATACATTTTAACAAATATGTCCAGGACTCACTTGAAAATGCAGTTATTAATCTCAATGGGACTTTCCTGGTTGAATTAAGGTTTAATAATAATAATATATGGTTGTGTGCCTGACAGATGAAGACTCTCATGGTGTTTGATTTCGACCACACAGTTGTGGATGACAACAGTGACATTTGGGTGTTAAGGTAAAACATAAATTCACTATTACCTCCTTTACTTGAGACTAGATATTTGTTCCTTTTCCATAGATGTCTACCAGGTAAAGTCCTCCCTGGCCATGTGAAGAGCACGTATACAAAAGGACATTGGACCAAGTACATGGGGAATGTGATGGAGTATATCGGTGCGTGTCAATTATTATCATTATTATTTTTATGTATTTTACCACATTACATTTTTGTATAGTCCTCTGTGAATTGTCTTACTTATTGTGGCTGCATTATAATACTAGCTTTATTCTGTCTCTGGGAAATTGACTCTTTATTTTGCCTTCTCTGAATTGAACACACATTTAGTATATTATGTGAGTCAACATTAACCTTCAGTATAAATGTGGTGTGGTACTTTCTTTCCATATTGTCAGTTGTCTTGTTGTTCTCTCCATCCCTCTCATGTTATACATTGTAAACTTGTAAAAAAAAAAAGACCTGATAGCTGTCTGAGTGAGTTTCTGTAGGATAACAAAGTTTAAAAGTGTCTAAATGAGCCTGTGGTAAAAAATCATGTTGAATATTAGCCATAAAAGTTTGGAGAGTTGCTAATATCTTTTTAGTTAGTGTTAGTTTAGTGGTAGAGGAAACTGGAGCACCCAGAAAAACCCAGGAAATCATGCAGACACTGGGAGAATATGCAAACTACACACAGAAAGGCCCAATCTGGCTCATTTATCAAACTAGTCCACTTGTTTGTGTCACATAAGTCCATGTGGGCTGGGAACCTTTGTGCGAAACAATTAGAATTCCTTCATTCATGTTGAATCATGCACCACCTGTCTTTGTTTTGCGACTCAAGACTCGTTCTTTACCTATGTTTAAACAAATATATTCTACATAAGGAATTATTTCAAGTTCTAAACAATGAAATGGCTCACTCTACGCTAAACTGTACAATGCATCAAATCTTACTTCATGCAGCAATAAAATAAGTGTATGAACCAAAAACATTTATACCTCATAATTCTTTAATACTATGTAGTTTATAAATAAACATAGGATTATCTCAGATGGGTTCAAAACAATTTCAAGAAAAATGGATGCCTTTAAAAAAATGTGTTGAACTTTGGGAAGACAGTCACATTTAGGACATGTCGTGTTGGAAGATTTGTGAATGGAAAAATGTACAGGACAGAGAGGACTATTTAATGGTTGGGGATATAACCATAATCAGTCTCTAATTATACTTTACGCACTATGCAAAAAATGGTATTCAATAACTGCAGACAAACTGGGCATTGAGAACGAAACACTTCATATCCACTTGTTACGTTCAAACGGCTGGAGTGCCATTAGTAGTACGAGCGTGAACCAACCAGTGTTTAAGCAGTGCCTCCTTCACTGGACAAACAACCTGGAACAAGACAAGAACATTTGGCAGTAACGGCCGCGGACATTTCAGGACTTTTTTGTGTCATTGACCCATCTGTAACACATTAGTACAGATTAGTGTGGAGTGAGTGAAATGCCAATCTCCTCAGTCATGTTTAAAGAGCGACTAAACACCTGTGCCGGCCTGACTCCGCCCACATGAACATTTGAAAATGTTCTCTAAAAAGTACGTTGCCTGGAGGACCAAGGGACTAGAAGGGGGGCTTAGAGGTGGGCGTGGTCTGGGCTGTGATTGACAGCTCACTTGTCACACACACACACACACACAAAAAAAGACAGTTGTCATTGCTGCTTAAAGCAATAGTTTACACACCAGAAAGTCTCATTACTTTGTTTATACACTAAGATAATTGTGGAGCTACACACCTGAACCTAACCACACAATTATCTCAGCAGCAGTGGCTTCAACTCATGTAATTTCTTTTTAAACCACTAGATGTCGCCAGAATACTCCAACCTGCTGCTGGGGCGTGTGTGAGAGTTGGATGGGTTTATATCACTGGCACACACACCGACTGACGTCACACACACCGCCTGGCGTCACACACACCGACTGACGTCACACACACCGACTGACGTCACACACACCGACTGGCGTCACACACACCGCCTGGCGTCACACACACCGACTGACGTCACACACACCGACTGACGTCACACACACCGACTGACGTCACACACACCGACTGACGTCACACACACCGACTGACGTCACACACACCGACTGGCGTCACACACACCGCCTGGCGTCACACACACCGACTGACGTCACACACACCGACTGACGTCACACACACCGACTGACGTCACACACACCGACTGGCGTCACACACACCGACTGGCGTCACACACACCGACTGACGTCACACACACCGACTGGCGTCACACACACCGACTGGCGTCACACACACCGACTGGCGTCACACACACCGACTGGCGTCACACACACCGACTGGCGTCACACACACCGACTGGCGTCACACACACCGCCTGGCGTCACACACACCGACTGGCGTCACACACACCGACTGACGTCACACACACCGACTGACGTCACACACACCGACTGACGTCACACACACCGACTGGCGTCACACACACCGACTGGCGTCACACACACCGACTGGCGTCACACACACCGACTGGCGTCACACACACCGACTGGCGTCACACACACCGACTGACGTCACACACACCGACTGACGTCACACACACCGACTGACGTCACACACACCGACTGGCGTCACACACACCGACTGACGTCACACACACCGACTGACGTCACACACACCGACTGGCGTCACACACACCGACTGGCGTCACACACACCGACTGGCGTCACACACACCGACTGACGTCACACACACCGACTGGCGTCACACACACCGACTGGCGTCACACACACCGACTGACGTCACACACACCGACTGACGTCACACACACCGACTGGCGTCACACACACCGACTGACGTCACACACACCGACTGACGTCACACACACCGACTGACGTCACACACACCGACTGGCGTCACACACACCGACTGGCGTCACACACACCGACTGGCGTCACACACACCGACTGACGTCACACACACCGACTGACGTCACACACACCGACTGACGTCACACACACCGACTGGCGTCACACACACCGACTGGCGTCACACACACCGACTGGTGTCACACACACCGACTGACGTCACACATCACTCCAGAGCCAATGGAGAGGCCAGGACCAAATTCAAATCTAGTGCCACCGAAAAGGTTGAGAGGGCGCCACACAGAAGTTTTTAGGCTCAAAAGTGAGATTTTATATAATTTGCACTAAAATGACGAAAAAATGACCTGGAAATGTAGAGAGCACTACAATAAACATATTTTTGCAATTATGCAGTATGAGTTAAAAAAAAGTTGATTTGGTGTTTAGATGTCCTTTTAATGTCCAAATAAACACAGTTAATCCAGAATAGTTCTTTTAATAGATCTTTCTTTTGTTCAGGAGAGCAGAAGGTGACATCTGACCAGATTCGCATCGTCATGGAGACCATTCCTTTCACTGATGGGATGACAGAGCTGCTGACCTACATATCGAAGCATAAGGACTCCGTCGACTGCATCGTGGTCTCCGATTCTAACACTCTGTTCATCGAGTGGATCCTAGAAGCCGCCGGGCTCCGTGCAGCCGTGGACCACGTGTTTTCGAACCCAGCCCACATCAACAATCGCGGCTACATGGAGGTACGCAGTCATCACTCTCACAGCTGTTCCAAATGCCCGGTTAATATGTGCAAGCAGGAGGTGTTGCAGCTTTATCTATCGGAACAATCGCAGCGTGGGGTGGAGTACAAGAAGGTGTTTTATGTGGGAGACGGAGGGAACGATCTCTGCCCGACGGCCTGTTTGAAAGACCAGGATGTAGTGATGCCAAGGAGAGGCTTCACTCTGGAGAAACAGCTGAGTCAACTGCAAAATCAGTCGGCTTGTTCCGTGAGGCCCAGAGTGAGCGCCTGGAGCAGCGCTAATGAAATACTAGCCGAGCTGAAGGAAAGTGTCTAGTCAGAAATGTTGCATTTATTACACACATATGCAAGTATTTCTTTTAGATTAACAAGGGTTTCAAAAATGAGCTTTTTTTTGGTTTACTTTGAATATTTGCTTCAAATATTTTCTTATGCAGTGGTGAAACTCTTGCATTACAATTTCTTTCCAAAGTCCAATGACTTCTTTTAATTCAACTTGCAATGTGGGGCAGACTCGTGACAGACTCATCTCACACAAAGTTGAGATGTACTAAGCCTTAATATGTTATAATGTTGGTGATTTTTAACGCTCAGCTGGTAAAAACACTGAATAAAACTTTTCAGACATATTTGAATATGTTGAGAATAGATTGTTCTGTAGGTTTGTAATGAGCCTCAATCATAGATAAATAGACAGATAGATACTTTATTAATGCCCACAAACATACATTGATCATTCTAAAAAGCTAACAATAGTAATAATACACATATCATATATTGGTCTCACATTTTAAGTTGAATTATAGAAATAAATTATCTTTTGAAGGATATGCTATTGTTCCATATCATCAGTACATGACATAATTCTTCTCAGGGCGTCTGTGGGATTCACTTTTGCAACTTTTTCCAAAGTGAACCATTTGGGAACCAAGCAATGGTAGCGATACAGGATAAAGTTTCTAAATATGGCAAAATGTAACAGAAAAATGAAACCCTTTGGTATGTTTCAGCAAAGCACGCCCTGGCGTCTCGACAGCGGTGTGTTCTGCAGTTTTCTAACAGTAGATCTTACTATATTCAGACATGCATTTGGAAAAGTTTAATTTGTTAAAACTCTGGAGGTGGCTGCGTTTGTAGAGACAGAATCACTTTGTGAAGTTTCAAACTGAGCACTAATTTGACAAACTTTACATTTTGGTGTCATGCAAATACTTTTTTTAATCACCACTTGCACATGTCATAAATGTTTACTAAAGTTGTTTTAGATATATTTTGATCTTAAAAACATGTATTTTTAAAGATAAAAGTCAATGTATTTTTTTATGAAAAGCACTAACTGTAATGATGGATACATAAATGAATAAATAAAAGGCATACATCCATGTGATTGTCTTTGTTCAATTGTTTTTCATACAAGATAAAGCTTATTTTTATTCGGTTTATGTCACTCTTCTGATTTGTGAAACACTGCCACCTAGTGATACACACATGAAAGTACATCACCTGGTCACAGACATATAACTATAATAAATCATGTAAGAATATAATTTGTACAAATTATTTTATTACACATTTTGTATAGCGTTTTTACCTTAAGTGAAACCTATTTAGTAGAATGTATTCTAAATAAAATATTCTCTGCAAATGTGTAAAATATACTAATTACCTGATATAAGTAGTTGTTATTGTGACACATTTTGACAGTTTCATTAAAGATGGCAAAGATCATGTCTCTTTTGGAATGAGGAAATGTATCAACATATGTGGTCAACAGGCCAGTCAATTTATTTGTTTAAGTGTAACTTTAAAACCCAGTATAGTATTCACAGCATGTAATCTGTTTGTTCTCTATCACATGTGCACTCAGAGCAGAGGGTAGCAGAGGGTAGCACAGGGTAGCAGAGGGTAGCAGAGGGTAGCAGAGGGTAGCAGAGGGTAGCAGAGGGTAGCAGAGGGTAGCAGAGGGTAGCAGAGGGTAGCACAGGGTAGCAGAGGGTAGCAGAGGGTAGCACAGGGTAGCAGAGGGTAGCACAGGGTAGCACAGGGTAGCACAGGGTAGCACAGGGTAGCAGAGGGTAGCAGAGGGTAGCAGAGGGTAGCAGAGGGGAGCAGAGGGTAGCAGAGGGTAGCAGAGGGTAGCAGAGGGTAGCAGAGGGTAGCAGAGGGTAGCAGAGGGTAGCAGAGGGTAGCAGAGGGTAGCAGACGGTAGCAGAGGGTATCAGAGGGTATCAGAGGGTAGCACAGGGTAGCAGAGGGTAGCAGAGGGTAGCAGAGGGTAGCAGAGGGTAGCAGAGGGTAGCAGACGGTAGCAGACGGTAGCAGAGGGTATCAGAGGGTAGCACAGGGTAGCAGAGGGTAGCAGAGGGCGCTGGCCTCAGATCAGACCTGCTCTTACAGGCTGACACTCGCCGGCTCTGTTTACTCCTGCGATTCGCTCTGTAGTGTGAGAGCTTTGGACCAGGCCGCTGCAGAGGGAGATGCGCACTTGCATAAGTAACAGACAGCCTGTCAGAGCGGGTTACAGGACTAAGAAGTTTTTGGACAGATTCGGAGGAAACTTTGGTCTGGGGAGAGCAGGGTAACAGCTGGTGACTGCACGCCAGTTTGAACAGGAGTCAGTGCAGAGCTACAAGTCGTTCTGGCTGAAAGAGCAAAGAAGCAGCGCTGTCACAAGTGTCCACAGAACTGCACTCTGCATTTCTCTCAGAAAGTACTGTTGGGTTTTAGAGTAAGTTCTTTTTCCTATAAGACGGTTTGGTATTGCTTCACTACTGCATTAATCTAAGGCATGTTTGGGAAATGTTTTAGCTCAATGACACCCAAAAGGAAAGTGGTCATAGACAAAGTCCAGCTCAATCTGGCCCCTATTGACTTACATTGAAAAGTGTGCAGACAGTGCAGTAACTGTGTCGCACTCACCATTTTGGACATAAAGAAATCTGTCTTTTAGTACTCTTTGTGATCCTGGTGTTTGTTTTGGTAATGGTCTCTGTCAATCAAATCTCTTCATTCATGAGGGAAACTCGAGCTTGCCTTTGCAACCACCTCAGCAACATGTCTCACTGGCAGCGAACATTTTTATACTAGTTAATATAATATTACTTAGTTATAATAATAATATATAGCATTTTTAAGGGACACTCAAAGACGCAAGGAGTAAATTTCTTTATTCATTTACAGTGGTGATAACTGGATGGGCTTTACTCTCTACTTTAGCCACAGCTGCCCTGGGGCACACTGACAGAAGCAAGGCAAACAGTCTGACCACCACCAACCATTCACACCCTCATACATGCATGCACAGACCAGACTCATTGTAGGCAATGTGGGTGAAGTGTCTTGCCTAAGGACACAATGACAGTTTGGCACTTTGCACCAGAGGTCTCCCATCACAGCACTAACCAGGCTCTGCCCTGCACAGCTTTAGAGATCTGTTGGGATCTGGCTTTCACATGCACGTATGGCGTGCACGTAGAACCATTTACCATCAGTCATCAGCTCAAACTATTACACTGTGCACATTATAGAACTAAAATAAAATGCCTTTCCCTGCAGCAGAAATAGTTGATGCTGTCCTTGGGCAAGACACTTCACTCACTTTCCCTCTGTTATACTGCCACTATGTCCCCTGTGTGGGCTACAAAACACAAAAACACATATCGTTTTGCATGGCTTTCGAGTCTCCGGGCTAAAACCTCACCAGCACGAGGAGCCCGAGTGGTTCAGGACCGACCGAGAGTCTTTCATGTGGGCGCCTTCTCTCACCTCTGGGCGCTGGTAAACAAGCTGTGGCCCTTTCTTTAATGCTAATCCCATTTGTATGAGTGACAGCAGCACACTTGGAGCAATGTCGAACATCTAAATAAGATGTAATTAGAAGCGAATGATAATTACTCCTACCGGCACCTCGCTGGGCAGGGTTGCTAAGTGGAGGACATGCTGCAAATTAATATTCTAGCGCACTCGTTCAAGTAACTGTAGGTCTGTATTCTTCCTGGCCTTATGACTTGTGCTAAGAAAAATAAAATAGCTGGAAAATAATTAGTTGCAATGGAGGATGGGAAAATTTGCAACATATAGGTGCCGAGACAATAATGACTATAACAAAGTATGTTCTGCACTGGAAATTTCTTTAAAAATGCAAAAGGAACGAAATAACTTGGGTAACTAACTTTTTTCATAAATAGTTTATGTCCCAACAAGAGTCTAGTGAAAGGGAAACGTCGTTATTTTGTGTGTACTTGTAAGAGAGAGCCCTATGAGTCACATTTGGACGCTTTGGGCTGAGAGCTGATTTGCTGAGTGAGAATCGGACTCGCTTTCTGTCTGAAAAAGCTGATTAAAATGATGTGACGGAGACAAAAAAAAACATACATCTGAAAACTCGAGATAAAACCAAACTGTTTTGGAGCAAGGAACAAGTTAGATAAATAATAATATTCTATTTTTCTTTGTTCTGTCTCTTCAAGTAAATATATAAATTGATATTACTATCTCACACTTGTCATGACATTTTCTACCCCTTTCTGGGTCTGGGTCTTGAAAGACATGGCCTTGGTCTTTCAGCGGTGGCCTCAGGCAAGTGTCTTGCCCATGGACACAACGACAGCACACATCAGTGAAAGCAGATGACATGGGCAAATGCAGATTCAACATGGAGCATTTTGAAAACACAAAACTCCAGACACTGATGCTGCTTCATAAACTCCTCAACTCTAATATATATCTTATATTTTATGTCTCAATACTGAAAATGAGGAAGATTTGAAGAAGGGAGATCTCTATTGGGATCTGCTGCTTTGTTCTGATGTCATAATGCAGTCTTTTTTAAATAGCACCTGATAAACAGTGCTGCTGATCAAGGTTTGTTGATTCTTCAAATCAATACTGAGATTTAAAAGGTTCTCAAAGAAGAATGATATTCCATGAGTATTGTCTGTATCTAAGTCGTCTGAGGAGAGTTTTGTCTTTTGTCGCACTTTGCCTCCACCCCCGCCTCTGCTTTGATGTGCTCATTATGTTTAACGTTTGTGAATAATGCCTGTTGATGATGCTGATGCTGGGACATTGGACGTGGAGAGACCTCCCTGCTCCTGAGGCGGGTGGTGAGCGTCTGCTGGACTAACATTAGTGTTTGCATATTGTCTGGGCTGTGCCCTGGAGGAAGCAGCTGCAGCTCTGAAGCCAGGGTCACAAGCCTCCTCTCACCTCATGGATCTACTCTTGCAACTTTGTTTCACTGTTTGGACTTGAGAACTTTTCAGACGGACCGTATAGGCAGAGGGGAAAGAGAGAAAATAACAGACTGCATATATG